GTCCCAGCCCTTTGGGAGACTAAGGCAGATGCACTGCTTGAGCCCAGGAGTTCAAGGCCAGCCTTCGCAACATGGCAAAACCCTGTCTCTACAAACAATACCAAAATTAGCCAGGCCTGGTGGTGTGCACCTGTAATCCCAGCTACTTGGGAGGCTGAGGTGGAATGGTCACTTGAGCCCAGGAAGCAGAGATTACAGAGCGGAAAGCATACCTGGGAGACAGAGCTAGGCCCTGTCTCAAACATAAAAAAGAAAGAAACACACACACACACACACACACACACACACACACACACACACACACACAAATAAAATAAAATAAAATCTATAAACACATCCACACATAAAGCAACCCCATTGAATGCCTCCTCCCCAGCCTCCCTACTACCCTGCTGCAAGGTTCAAGGTGCCCAGAGGGCTGCATGGTTCCGTCCCGAGCTGGGCCTGTGCCCAGCATGAGCTCATCAGGTTGCAAGGGAATGAGATGGTTCCTGGCTTCCCCGACCTCAGCTGCCACCCAGGATCCCGCAGCCTCTGGCAGAAGCTCATGGCTGATTCATTGGATCAGCAGGCAGCTCAAATCCCCAAGAAGCAGTCACATGGTGCAGTCAAATCGCATCTTTCCTTGTCTATATTTTGCATAAATAATAATTTTAAAAAGCTCTTTCCATCCTGTGAAACCAAACCATTGCAGGGACTCCTGTCAGGAATCTGTGTGGAGAGGTCTGAAGGTAGCTCCTTGGGGAGAATTTTCCTTTTCTCTAAGGAGCCCAGACAGGGTGGGTGAAGGTGGGGAAACCATGCTGGCTGATAACAAATTTGCAAATCTGGTGAACAAAGCAAGGGCCAGAACAGGGCCCCAGGGCCTGGCCACCTCCCTGTTAAGGGTGGATAGTAGCCTCATCTTTTGACAGGGGCTGGTGCTTCCTCCTTGAAGGGTAGGTCAAGAGTCACGTGACTGGTTCCCAGGCACCATGCCAAGTGCATTGGCAAAGACTGGCATCTCTAGTGGCAAGGTTCTCTCAAGGGAAGCTTCCAGCTGCTTGCTGGTGTAGGGGTCTGGTGTGTGCACTGGTAGCGAATGAGGAAGCTGGGGTCAGCTGGGGTCAGCAGGCCCTGGGCTGCCTTAGATGAAGGGATGCAGCTGCTAACCCGGTGGGGAGGCTTGTTCCTGGAACCAATGGGGCCAGGGCACGATCAGATGCAACATCAGCACCCAGGCCAGAAGGGCACAGCTGGGATTCCACTTGAGTCCTCCCCAGAGGCTACAGGGAGTGTGCGCCTCTCTTCCTAGATCATGAGGCTTCCTGTGCCAATCACTGGGGCAGAGGCTCAAGGGAACTCAATGGGCAGGGGGCTCTGAGTCTGGTGGGGACTGAACCTGTGGTGCCTTCTGGAGTCTGTGCTCTACAGGGAGTGATGCCCCTGCTCACAGGGAGTTGCTCAGCCTGAGCATCCTGCCCAATACTCAAGCACTTCAGAACTAACCTGGACCTTGGGGTTTGGTTAAGGGATGTCAGGCCCTCCCGAGTGCTTACTGTTTGCTGAGCTCACCACATGCCTTGCCACAGCCCTGGGCTGTGGGTGCCCCAAGAGCTCATGCTGAATATCGAGCTGCGTGCTGGCACCTTCACCCTTCATGCAGGCACCCACTCCAGACAGTTCTCAGGTGTCCCGGAGGAAGGGAGGTGGGTGCCCCAGGCCAGGGGTTGACACAGTACCCACTCTGGATTGCACGCTTTCAGTGGATTGCGAAGGATTATTAGAGTTTAGTGTGTCTGTCTAAGTGGATTGACGGATTATATGATCTAGTTTTAACTGAACTCACCCTCCAAAATGGCCAAGTGGCTCACACAAGATTACTGTAAGGAATCTGCAACTGGCACTGGAAAGCCGGAGCAGGTAACCACAGGAGAAGGGAGAGCTGAGAACTCCACATTACTCCTGGCTGAGCTCAGGGCACAGACCTGAACAGAAGTTCGCCCCTAATATATAAAATAAGCAACAAAACTCTTTGAATTTCTCCCACTCTGTAGTTACAGCTGAAGCCTGCCACGGGTGCCTTGTGCCTGGAGGTACTGGTCTTCAGCAGTGTGAAATCCTCACGGTTGGCAAGGTGTCTAAAACTAAGCTTTCAGAACCGAAGAGAAGCCTGTGCAGTTTTTTCCCAGCAATGTTTAAAGTTCTGGCAGTTCAGCCCAGTACTTCTTAGTATTTCCCTAAGCAATGATAAATATTTGGAAAGCTCTTTTAAAGTTTTTGCATGATAGCATGAGACTAAAAACACCTACCACCAAGCAGACACTTATTCTTTCTGCTGCAGGAAACATGGCAGAAACAATGAGCAGTAAATGATCTGCCGACAAACCGAAAGGCATTTCTCTGTCAGCAAACACCTTCGGAAGATGTAGAGAAAACACTGCCGAAGATTGGAAGAAACTCGTGTTAGAGCAAATTACCCAGTGTGGGAGGTTTGCTTTGCAGTGGGCTGAAAGCGCAGATGTTCCCAATGTGGCTCAGCTGAAGGTATTTGCCAGGTGCTGTTCCAATAATGAAATACACACACTGCTGCTTTCTTTTCTTTCTTTCTTTGCTTTTTTTTCATGAGCCATTAAAGAGAAGATATAGCAGACAATATATATTGCCAATAGTAAATGTCTTCTTTAAATAAAAAACAATGTCTTATGGGAAACGGTAAAAATGCGACCATGGATGGAATAGCTACTCAGAAAGGATTTTTTCAAAAAGGATTCTGGATACGAATCAGGGTGCGGGGGTAGGTTCGTCCTTAGCCCTCACTTGTTGGCTCATCCCCAGTCTAATCAGCGTAGGGAGGAAGTGGAAGCCTGAAGGGCACATAGAATTTTGCAGGAGGCCATCGGTGGGCTAATTTTATAAAGCCAAGCCTGTAGTGTTAGAGTAGAATCTTTACTATACTTAGTAAGGAGATTAGGTGTGACCATGAAAACTTTCCAGCCATGCAGAATGAACTATCTTTATGGCAAAATACTGAAGAGGGTTGTCCCAAGTTTCCCTCCCTCTCTGCTTAACTTTCCCTCCCCCCTTATTTTTTAAAAAATTTGTCAGTAATTTTTAATGTATGTCTCTGTTTCTGCTTCCCTGTGATTGAGTCTTTTTTTCCTTGTGAATATTCTTTTTTCAAACTTTAGATTCAGGGGTACATGTGCTTGTTTGTTACACGGGTAGACTACATACTGGCAGGGATTAGGCTTCTAGTGAACCCAGTACCCATATAGTGAACTTGTACCTGACAGGTGACTTTTCAACCCTCGCCCCCACTCCCACCTCCCTCCTTCTTTTTTTTTTTGAGAAGGAGTCTCCCTCTGTCACCCAGGCTGGAGGCAGTGGCATGATCTCAGCTCACTACAACCTCTGCCTCCGGGGTTCAAGTGATTCTCCAGTCTCAGCCTCCTGAGTAGCTGGGATTACAGGTGCCTGCCACCACACCTAGCTAATCTTTGTATTTTTAGTAGACACATAGTTTCACCATGTTGGCCAGGCTGGTCTCAAACTCCCGACCTCAAATGATCCACTCACCTCCTTTTCCCAAAGTGCTGGGATTACAGGCGTGCGCCATCATGGCTGACTAATTTTTGTATTTTAATAGAGATGGTATTTCACGATGTTGACCAGGCTGGTCTCGAATTCCTGACCTCAAATGATCTGCCCCCATTGACTTCCCAAAGTGTTAGGATTACGGGTGTGAACCACCGTGCCCGGCCTCCCTCCTTCCTAAAGACCAAAGTGCTTACACTTTTGAGATGACAAGAGCTACTTGTTTTAGGCAATCAGGAAAAAGCTTGAGAAATAAATGTACTTTTCTTGCATCTGCTCCTTCAAGGTAAAGATGTCCTTTCAATGAGAAAAATGAGAAAGTAATCATCTTGGAATGAAAACTCATGCCAAGGAAAGAACATTTTTTTAGAACAGAAATTTGAGAGTGTTTTCATTGATATATGAATTTTGTGGTAAAAAATGTATGTGACTGATAAAATCCTCATCCCTATACATTTAAAAAAACTTAAAAGCAGATTATATATTCGAATCTGTTTTTAAAAATTTAGATATAATTTCCACACCATAAAATTAATGATTTTATTTTGCTTTTTAGACATGGATTCTCGTTTCCCAGGCTGTAGTCCCACAGCTGTTCACATGTGTGATCAGGGCTCCTCCAATCAGCTCCAATATTTTTGTGACAGCCACTAAAACCCAGGATTAAAAAATCTACCCTGAGCGCCAGATCTTCAAACTGATGTTTTACAATTTTATTTCAAGGTTTTAGTAAATAAGAAATCATATTGAATCGTGGTACTATTTCTTGCAAAAGCAAGATGCTTTTTCACACCTCTGTAAATGTACAAATACATTTGTAATACTGTAGAATTTGCTGGAATATGTGGTTGATTTCACCTTTATTTAATTGTTTTCAGTGTTCTCTTGGGGCAGGTGTGGTACTAAGTATGGGTGTACTGGGATGGGTGCTCCAGAATGCTTTTGGAGGGAGATCAGAAACACCAGCGTCTGCTCCTTCACCAGCTCTCACCTCTGCCCTCTACCCTCTACCACCCACACCCTCTGCCCAAAAAACCAGACCCTTCTCCTGGCAGCAGCCAGAGTGCTCATTTCCCAACCAGGGCGGGCCACAGCCCCCTCAAAGACCTCCAACCACACCCCTCTACCCAGACTTCACGGTCCCCTATGCCCCCCGCTCTCCTGACCCCGCAGGCTTTCCCCTCTTCTACCCAGCTACGCACTCACCTACTCTGATCCAGCTACCAGCCTCCCAGAGCACCAGCCAGCACTGCCCCAGGGCCTTGGCACTGCCTTGCTCAAGCCCCCACTCACTCTGTGCAGGTCTCTTGCTCAACCGTCTGTCTGCTCCTCAGCAGCCCCTCCTGGCCTGCATTATCCACCCCTCCAGACACTGTGCCCACAGGCACTCATGATTTTTTTCCTAGGAAGTAGTACTGGCATTGCATTGTCTAACACTTCCTTTTATTATTTATTGCTTTGTCTCCCAGGAGAATGGAGGCCTTGAGGAGGCAGGGGAGTCTTCCTTGTTGAGAAATCTATGCCCAGAGTTCAGATGTCCTGGGAGGGGCCACGGGCTCTGGGTCTGGGCTGCTGCCCTGCACCCAGAGCTCCCCAAGTGCTCCTTGGATCTCCTTAACTGGAATCGGCATGGGGGGCTGGGAACATCTGAGTGGCCTCGACTTGGGGCAAGCGTCTGCCTCATTGGTCTCCTGGTCAGGTGCAGGGTTGTGGAATGATCCCAGTGGGGAGACAACAGAGGACTGTGTCAAGGCCCCCCGGGGATCCCCACCCCAGAGCCTCCTTGGGTGGGTTACAGGGTTAGAAGGTGGTTTGCAGGGTGGTGGGAAGCTGCTCTTCTCCAGGTGTCCTGATGCACTCAAGTCCTTAGCTGCCAGAACTGAAGCTAAGAATGGTGGGGCACACGGTCTGAGTGTGTCGTGTCCCGGGTGGGAGGACATCTCTGGATCCATGCCTGCTTGGTCCTCCTCAGGCTAGAGGCGGGCTGGGGGCTGGATGGCAGCCGCATGGCACAAATCTGCAGTCTCTGGGGTTGGGAGGAAGAATCAGAGAGCAGCTGGGGGCGGGGTGGGGGGGAGGTTGGTCCTGCAAATTCCAGGCTCAGCTCCCGGGCTCCCTGTGCTTCGCCCTGGAGGGGATACGGAGCGAAGAAGGGCAGCGCCGCACCAGCTGAGGCTGGTTTATCTCTAGGAGGTGAAGGTCCAGCGGCAGGACACCTGTGTGTGTTCTGTGGGAGTGGCAGCTCGGGACAGGGACCAGGGCACGACCCCTGGAGGTGGGGAGCAGGAGAATTCCGGGGTGGGGCGTTCAGGGAGCAGCGGCCACCCCCAGCAGCAGCAGCAGGGTCCCGGCCAGCAGAGGCAGCGACTGGGGAGCCAGGTGGGCGGCGCTGGTGGTGCCGGCGGGAGGGGTGGCGGGTGCCAGGTCGCAGGCCGTGTAGGGCTCCAGGCAGGCGGCAAAGGCCATGACGTGTGCTACGAAGGTCTGCTCCTGCACACCGTGCACCAGGTGCGCCTGCGGGCCGCGCGCGAACACCGCCACGTCTTCGCCTCCGTGGGTCTCCGACGACAGGGGCACCGCCGCCTGCTGCTTGTAATCGGGGCTCCCTGGTAGGATGGTGAGTGCAGTTCAGGGAAGGCGGGCGGCGTCCCCCTCCCGAGAATGCCGCCATCCCTGGCCCCCTGACACCCCGAGCCGCCATCCAGCCCCACTCACCGCTCTCGCTCTCATTCACGTCTGGTCGCACGCTTGAGTTGAGCACATAGCCTGGGCCATTGCCATACAGGATGGACGTGTAGGCTTTGCTGTCCTGAGCCTTGCTGGGGGCCAGCCCTGTGGGGAGATGGGGGTCCTGTGGTTGAGCTGAACACAGCTGTGGGAGCGCCTCCCATGTGCCAGGCATCGCCACTTTTTGTCTGTTCAGGGATTAGGTCCTCACAAGATCTCTACAAGGCAGGTGCCAACATTACGCATATTTGACAAAGGAGAAAAGTGAGGCTCAGACTTCACCCACATAATTGATGCAGCAGCACCTGCCCCTCTGCCCAGGCCTACCGAAGACAGAGCTCCCTCGCAAGGTGTATCCACCAAAGGAGAAGACGTGGGAGTGGTCAGCGGTGACGAGGGTCAGCGTGTCCTCCTCGTTGGTGAGCTGGCCCGCCCTCTCAATGGTGTCATCAAACATGACTGCCTCCGTCAGCGCATGATAAGCTATGCCCTCATGATGACCATGGTCGATGCGGCCGCCTGCAGGAAGGCCAGAGCGGCATGATGCTTGAACCTGCCCTGCCCTGCCCTGCCCTGCCCCGCCTTGCTCCACTCCCCACGGGGACACCACACACCCTCCACGAAGAGGTAGAAGCCGAGGGGGTTCCTGCTCAGCAGGCGTAGGGCGGCCTCCGTCATCTCCATCAGGGAGGGGTCTCGTGTGGGGTCTCGGTTGATCTCATATTTCGTGTCTCCGGGCTCAAAGAGGCCTGTGGGGCAAGGGGCTTGGTGGTGACTGGCAGGCTGGGTGTGGGAGGGTGCTGGCAGGTGTGCACACAGGCTCGGAAGGTGCCATCTGAGGCTGTCCAAAGGGTGCCAGGGCAAGAAGGGGGTCATTACCCATGAGGTGGGTCACAGAGGAGTCCAGGGAAGCCTGCATGAGCTCAGTGCGGTTCCACACATACCGGGCACCCTGCAGGGACACAACCAGGCCTCAGCCCACAGCCCTGAGCCCCACACCCCTGCACTCCCCCTGCTGTGACCCTGCACCCACCAGCCCCCATCACCTGGTGCTTCGCCAGCCATTCCTGTACCAGGTTCTTCCCGTCCAGCCTGATTCCATTCTGGCTGGCATCACTTGGGTACTCAGGGTCTGGGGTCCCCGTGGGAAACATGTACTTTCGGCCTCCGCCCAGGATCACCTGGGGACAGAGGATGGGGCAGGTGGGTTTGGGGCCTGGCTGGCCCCGTGGCCCCTCCTCATGCACAGCCCTTGGCTCCCCTCCCCAGGGCTGTGGAAAGGGTCCCGCCTGTGCTGCACCTTCTACGCCTCCAGCCTCCAGACCCTGCTGGCCCCATCAGGCTGTTGGTTGCCTGGATCTGAGCCTGTGCTCCCACCCTCCACTCTGCCCAGCCCCAACCCTTGGCCTTGGGGTCTCACGTCAATGTCCATGTTGGAGATGAGCTGTGTGGCGATGTCCTGGCAGCCCTCCTGGAGGGCCGAGGCAGGCATGTTAGCATCTGAGTACCAGTTGCGGTTCACCGTGTGTGCGTAGGTACCGGCTGGCGAGGCGTGCTGCACCCGTGTGGTGGTCACCACTCCCACTGACTTCCCTGAGGGTGACAGAGGTCAGGATATGCGACAGAGGTCTGTGACCTGGCCCTGACCCTGCAGCGGGCCCCAGCTCACCTGCCTTCTTGGCCCGGTTCATCATTGAGACAACCTCATTGCCGTGGGTCGTGTTGCACTGGTTAAAGCGGGCGGCTGCGCTCAAGCCAATGGTCTGGTAATTGGCCTTGACCCCACACAGGTAGGCAGTGGCTGTGCCTGCGCTGTCTGGCACCTGTCTGTCCACATTGTACGTCTGGGGACGGAGACATCCTGAGCTCTACTTTGGGGCAGATACACAGACCCCAAGCAGAGCCCTGGTTCTGGTCCTCTGGAATCCTAACTGCCCCCAGCTCCTAACTCAGGCCCCAGCTGTCTGGAGTCCCTCCCTCCTGTCACCCCCCATATCCTTGACCCCTCCCCTCTACTTGGAGGACTCCGAGGTGGCCCAGCCCTCACCTTGGACAGAGCCACGTATGGGAAGTGGTCCATGGCCAGGGGTGTCTCAGGCCCCAGTTTGCCATTCTTCTGCCCCTTTAGGATCCTGGTGGCTGTCACTGTGGGTACCCCCATCCCTGAAGGAGCAGAAATGTGTGAGGCTTGGGCCCCAGGGCTGTCCTGGAACCACCAACAGTCCAGGTGCCGGGGCTGTGAGGGCTGCGGGCTGGACAGCCTTGCTCACTCACCGTCGCCCAGGAAGAGGATGAGGTTCTTGGCGACCCTCTGGATGGGCTGCAGCTTCTTGGCAGCATCCAGGGCGTCAGCTGCATGGCGGTTCCAGAAGGCTGGGCTCTCCTCCTCAACTGGCCAGGGGGAGAGTAGAGATCAGGTCAGCCTGGCTGAGGGGAAGCCCTGGGTGCAGAACAGCAGGGGGGCCTCATTACCTGGGATGATGCCCAGGGAGAGCTGCGGCCTCAGGCCCAGCAGCAGCAGCACCCACAGCCCCTGCATGTCTTGGGGGCAGCAGGAGGGAGGCGAAGTGGGGACAGCAGATACCAGCTACAGTGCAGGCTACCTGGGTTTAAATCAGGGGAGGACTTTGCCCCTGGCAATAAATGCTCCACGTCTCTCCTCATGCCCCTGGTGTCCATCTTGACCCCACCCAGTCCTGTGACCTGAAGCCAAGCTTGCTGAAGGGAAGGGACAGGGTGTGGCTCGTAGTGCCGCCCCTTCCTTTGCCTCATTGGCTCATATTTCCCAGCTACTGCCTGGCTCTGTTCTGGTGTGAAGAGAGGTGAGACTGGGAACACACAGCCCACGAGCCCCCGAGGAGCATGAAAGGCGGCACATTCGGTGGCCTGGCTGCCCTGGAACCCACTTGGTGTGTGTGGGTGCCCATGCCTATGTCGTGAGGATGTGGGGTGGGGGGAAGGGCCAGTGCCCTGGGCCACCCAGGCCTGGGCTGCGTCTTCCAGAGCAGCTTGTGCACTTGAGGTTGACCCCTGTTCCCTTGCACAGGTAGATGGAGCTGAGGTGAGTCTGTTTTCCATGGGCCCTGGGCACACCCAGAACTGTAGCCTCTCACGTGGTGCTCAGAGTGAACCTCAGGCTGAGTTCAAAAGTATTGCTCCAGTCCAGACATCCCACTCTGAGTGTGTAGCCAAAGGAATGCAAGGCAGGGACATGCTCCCAGCATCCACAGCAGCCAAGAGCTGGAAGCAATCAACAGAGGCATGCAGAAACCAAACAGGGACCCTTGTCCAGTGGAATATCATGCAGCCTTGAAGAGGAAGGAGCCCCTGACACCTGCTACAACGTGGATGAACTTGAGACATTATGCTTAGTGAAATACACAGTGCCAAAGGACAAATACTCATGAATGCACTTCTCTGAGGTCCCTAGAGGAGTCAAATTCGTAGGGACAGACGTGGAATGGAGGTTACCTGAGACTGGGTTAGGGCTGGGGTTGGGCTTAGGGTTAGAGTTGGAGTTTAACGGGGACAGAGCTTCAGGGCTGCAGGGTGAGAGCGTTCTGGAGATCAGCTGCACAACAATGTGTGTGTGCTCAACATGGCCGCCCTGTACACTTGAAAATGGTGAAGGAGGTAAATGTGATGTACTGTCTTTTGTAGCACAATTCAGAAATTGGTCCAAGAAGAAAAGGCTCCTCCAGCTCCACCCGCCCCAGCTCAACCACAGCAGCCCTCCTTCACTCAGGCCTGCTCACCCCGAGCCCCAGGCTTGGTCCCCAGAGCCCAGGGTACCTCTCCTGCTGCCCAGCCTCTGCCTGTCCCACCCCACTCCCCACCACGCCCACGGGCCTCCCCTCAGGCCGAGATTTCTGGAGTCCTCCTCCCTGCACCTCGCCTGGCTTCCCACTGTCGTCCTGGGGCTCTCAGGGAAGATGTCGCCCTCGTGGGGCCTTCCTGCCCTCTGGTAGTTGCCCTCCTAGTTTCCAATCCCTCCTGCTTCATCTTGCTGAGTTAGGAGCATTCTTGGCTAAAGGTCAGAGGAGACTCACTAATGGGCAGGCAATTAATTAATTCATTGATTCATTCCAAAGTCAAGGTGAGTCAGCAGGCTTTACAGCCACCCTGAGTTTCATGTGTAAGTTGGAATTTTTGACAGAACTACAGATTCACATGTAGCTGTAAGAAATAATACAAGCCAGGCGCGGTGGCTCATGCCTGTAATCTCAGCACTTTGGGCGTTCACGAGGTCAGGAGATTGAGACCATCTTGGCTAACACCATGGAACCCCCGTCTCTATAAAAAAACATAAAACATTAGCCTGGCATGGTGGCAGACACCTGTAATCCCAGCTACTCAGGAGGCTGAGGCAGGAGAATCGCTTGAACTTGGAAAGCAGAGGTTATAGTGAGTTGAGACCCCAGCACAGCACTCCAGCCTGGGCAACAGAGTGAGATTCCATCTCAGAACAAAGAAAAAGAAAAAGAAATGCCTTGCGGGCTTTGCTTAGTTTCACTACCGCCCGCACTTTGGTATCTCCCCTTTAACAAGATAAAGCACGCTTTTAGCTCAAAGCGTCTAAGGACACTGTGAGAACGTGGCTTTGGTTTGTTTGGAATGCACAGTTGCCTTCCGTTTATGGCAAGAGATGGTGGTCTTCCATGTTTTGTAGTTACAAGTTTCCTTTTCTAATAGATTTAAGGAAAAACTGAGCTTATGTAGCGAAAAATGTTCAGTAAATAATACCGCAGGCAGTAAATGGCGATGGCAAAAAGCTGTCAAGGTGACACGTGACTAGCTGAGCGCTAAGAAGCATGGAATTAAAAGAAATAAATTAAATAGCCTTTGGGTCTGAGCTGAATCGCTCTCTCCACCACTTACTGGGTGTCCTTCAGAACGGAACCTCTCCAAGCCTTAATTCCCTCATCTGCGAACGGGAAGCGTGAGAGTCCTGTCAACCTCAAGAAACAGTGGGAGGCTCTCCGAAACGATGGAGCTTAATAGGGAATCAGCAGCAGCCCCACACGCGGAGCCCCGCCCTTATAAGCCAGGGGCGGGTCGCAGAGGGGACGCAAGGGGGTGCTTTCAAAGGCACAAGGAGCAGTGCATGGTTGGCTTTTTGTTTTTGTCTTTTTTTGTTTCTGTTTCTTTTTTTTTTTATCATAATTAAGATTTAACTAACAAATCCAAATATACGAAGATTTGCCCCTAGGTCTTTCCCAAAGAGTTTTGTAGTTTTGTCCATTGCTCTGTTGCCCAGGCTGGAGCGCAGTGGCGAGATCTCAGCTCACTGCATCCTCTGCCTCCCGGGTTCAAGCAATTCTGCCTCAGCCTCCTGAGTAGCTGAGACTACAGGCACTTGCCACTGAGTCCTACTACACAGCTGTTTTGAAAGGAAGGGAGCCCTGGTTCCAGGGGCTTATCCCAGGAGCAGACATCAGTTCACGAGCAGACACAGCGTATCAGGCAGGTATTCCTATGTATCCGGCTGGCCGTCCTTGTGACTCCCGTAGCCAGCTGCAAAGTCCTGGCAAAAGGTCTTGTTACAGGCATCTGTGCCTCAGAACCCTTCCCAGAGGCTTCATAAGGGCGCTGATTGTAGGCAGGTGTGTGGGGGTGCCTCCTTCATAACCCCCGCCTGCATTATTTTGTTGTTGCTCTTAGGGGTGGACAAAAGCGACTTCTTTCTGATTCTGAAAACTTTCACAGAGCCTGGGTCTCCGGGCTGTTGTGGGGCTTGATTAGTGCAGGGCCTGCTGCAGAGTTAGCAGGGGGAGTGTGGCGGGGGGAGTTGGGGGAAGAGGCGAACCCTGACCTTTACTAACAAACACGAGGCAAGTCCTGAACATCCTTGAAACCCCGTTTCCAAGCTGAGGGTCTGCACACCACACAGTTGGCCAAATGGTCACAGAAGTAGCTCCCTCTAGAGCACAAATCTCTTCAATTCTTAATTAAGGGCTGTGTAGTCAGGACCTCCCTCTGGCTCATCCCACCTACCAGGGAGGGACATCCAGGCGCGTCTCACCCACAGGAGAACTTGGGTCAGGTACCTGGGGTGGGAACCAGAAGGGACTGTCCCACCCCCAAGGCAAAAGACACCCCCATCTCCTCCCCATGTGCTTCCTGGGAGGCCTCTCAACAGGCCGTGGAGCTCGAGCAGGGCCTGGGGCCTCAGCCTGCGGGAAACTGGGGCACAGGAACCTGCCGGCTTAGCTAAAGGGGAGCTCCACCAGGCACCGGAGCCCTGATCTGGCCACCCCTTCAACCCCTGGCAGTAGTGACAGTGGCAGGGGTGGCTGGCAGGTGAGTCCTAGTGCACAGTTGTCCCCTGAGAGTGAGGGACAAAAGACAACTCTGCCCTGAAAGGTGCTTCGGAGTATATATGGATGTGTGGAAAATAAAGTTTACAAAGTCAAGGGTGCTGCCATTGTATTTAGTGGTTTAACTTTGATCTCGCCTGGCAGGAACCTGGAGGACAATTGTATTCCAATAGCACCCTGGTGAGCTGAAAACCTGTTAAGCTGAATACACTATTGGAGAGTTTTTGTTCCATCTTCTATTCTGCTGTTTTTAAAATATCTGGCTAAGTGCTTTCCAGAACTGAGCAATGTACTATTGACACACATTAAAGAATGTAACACAGCTCATGAACGAGGTTGAGCAAAACTGGTTTTAAGTAAAATAAATTATTAAAATGGATCAGTTTCCCCCTCAAATGACTTTCTATCTATGAAAAAATAAATAGGCCGGGCGTGGTGGCTCATACCTATAATCCTAACATGTTGGGAGGCTGAGATGGGAGGATCACCTTAGCCCAGGAGTTTGAGACCAGCCTGGGCAACACAGTAAGACCCCATCCCTACAACAAATTTTTAAAACTAGCTGGATATGGTGGTACTTGCTTGTATTCCCACCTAGCCCGGAGGCTGAGGCGGGAGGATCTCTTGAGCCAGGGAGGTACAGGTCTCAGTGGGCCCTGATTGCCCCACAGCACTCCAGCCTCCGAACTCCAGCCTGGTCAACAGAGGGAGGTCCTGTCTCAAAAAAACAAAAGCCAAAAAACCAACAACATAAATAAGCAAAATTTCCCCCAAACCATAAAAACCCGCAATTAGAGAGAAGGTTCAAAGAGATGGTCTTACAATATGGTTTGATATTCGGAACCCAGACCCAGGCCTGTGCAAATTGATGCTCATCATTCCAAGAATCACCCCCTTCTCCAGAACCTTCTTTAATGTGAAAAGCATCACATCTGGTTGCCTCCACCAGGGCTCAAGTCTTTAATTCACATCAGCCCTCCCAACTCCCATCCCGACTGCCGTCAGCCCCTGAATTCTGTGATTCCAACCCACGAACCACTCTGGTCCATGGCCAGCAAGGACTGGGGCAGGTTCACGTACAGAGCTGTCCACGGCCAGGCCCGCAGCACTGTCTGCGCTGCAGACCTCTCTGGAGAAAGCCCATCCCCACCTGTGACTTTTGCAGCCCGTCCCCGCAGGCCTCTCTGGACAGCTGCCCTGTCCCGTCAGGCCTTCCTCCTGGCACCTGAGTGATCACAGCCCCTCCTGCCTGGCCTCCTGTTTCCTGCCTCGCGGCGCCGCTGCTGAGTGGTAGAGCCGCTGGAGTGG